TTAGTTAGAATCAAAATTTCTATGCTTTTAATGTACAGTTTTTAAACTTATTAAGAAATTATTTAAATCTGAAATGAGTATATATTCAGATTCCGTTTTATCAAATTTTTCAATACTTTTGTTATTTAGTTTTTAAAAAATGCAATGAAGTTTTAAATATGAATCCAGTATATATATATTTAGGTTATAAATTTCTATGCGTTGGTTAATAAATTTCTATGCTTTTACTGTATGGTTTTTTAAACTTATTAAGAAATTATCGAAATCTGAAATGAGTATATATTCAGGTTCCGTTTCATCAAATTTTTCAATACTTTTGTTATTTAGTTTTTAAAACGTGCAACGAAACTCTAAATATGAATCCGATGTACATATATTTAGGTTTAAACGAAATTTTCTATATTTTTGTTATTTACTCTATTGTTATTTATATTGTCTGAATCAGAAGAAATTTTAGTATGCAGATGACATTTCTTTGTTAGTTAATAAAAACGATAAGAAACTCTCTAAATCTGAATAAATTTTAGTATATATTCAATTTGTGTTCCATAAAAATTTTAAATGCTTCCTTTGTTTAATTTTAAAAACACGTTAAGAAATTATCGAAATCTGAATAAATTTTAGTATGTATTCAAGTTTCGAGTTTTGGAAAGAAGGGAATTTAAAAAGATAATATTACAAAGAAGGTTAAGAACCACTGCTTAAAGATGATTAAAACTTGATAATAAATTTTTATTTATGGTTCGACTTAAACAATAAGTTAAAAAACATACTTTTATGGTTAAATCATAAAAACTTAGAGCGGCATTACTAAAAGAGCAAATCGGCCGGATCGAAATTTTAAGAGCAATCTGCTGGATTAAGAATTCAGATTTTATTTCTTGAACAAAATTCTAGAAAAACGAAGAAAAAAAAGATATTTTCCTTTCTTAGGAATGAGAAAGACAACGAAGTTATGCAAAGAACATAAAACTCTAGTTTTAGAAGAAATTTATAAGAAGTTTTTTTTCGAAGAAAAAGATATGGTTCCATAAAGCAGGTGGGTCCTTTCAAAAGAAAACAAGAAGTTTTTTTTCCTTCGATTTAAATGAGATAAAAATGTGATATTTTGTGGTATTCTGGAAAATTTCTAAATGTGTGCAACATACCTTCGAATTCCGAATATCTGGAAAAAGTGCGTGAATATTTGGAGAGGTGTATTGTTTTATATATGACGTTTTTTTTAGAGTTTTCACCTTTGAAGGTCGATAGTGTTTGAAGAGACATTTTAACACGTTGAATTCCATGGGGGTCACCGGTGATCGACTACAAGGGTTTTTCATTTTCACAAAACTGTGGCTTTTCTCCATATTGACGTTTTGCGCCATTTTCAAAATGAGCGTAGACACCTTTGTTTTCTACATTGGCTAAACTTGACACAACAGTCATAAGTAACAGCTGAAAACTCACAGCAGTCATAAAAATAGCATATTATTCGCAAAAAAGTATTATTTCATATAACGACGGAGCCTTCAAAAAACAGTCTTAAGTGATATTTTCAAAGGAGAATATGTAGTTTTATAAACATATACATGACCTGCCAACTTGTCTTTAGTTAATGACAAAATTTTAAAAACCTTTGCATACTTAATTATTGTGCTCTTTAAATAATGTGATGAACTATAACTTCCATATTGGCAAATCCGCTACACGTTCTTCATAAACTTACTAGAAATATGAAATACTTCAATGCAAAATTGATCGATATATAAAGCTAAAAATAAAAGAACGAAGATTTATCATAAAATGGAGTCCTCGAGCGCAATATCAACAATTAAATAGTTCGATAGGCGATGTTCAACTTCAAATAGTCGTTTGAGGCCAATCATTAATTAAAAATGAAAAGTCATAAGACAGGGGCAGGCAAGTTCCGATTGGATGTTTTGTACCATTGCAATGCTACATGGAAATATTATTATTGGGACCTAAAAGTCCTGTTGGTACATAAAAGTTGACATAAAGGTACAAAGTGGTAGCGACAAAACAGTTGAGGTAAGCTATATTCGAAATTTGGTTATCTTAATCCTGCCAGTACTTAAAATATTTATTCTTCGAATGTTAAAAGTTATATATTTGCTTAAATAATTTTTAAATTACATCGGTTATAAACTTCGTAAATAAAGTTTTTTAAACCAAAATTTAAATAGCGAAGCAAAACACTACCACTTCAAATACTCAAGAAAAGTCTTCCGTTGAAGCAGGAGAGGTTGCGATGTATGTTGGTGGATTTAAACTCCCGATTTAGAAAACTATCTGATATGATTAAAACATTTTAAACACCCTTTTGTGAAATTGATTCTCTATTTGGAAATTTAAAATCTAGTCAAAATAAATTTGCTTCGAGCAAATTTGAACGGTATTAACACTTTCCGGAGAACGAATTCTGAGCTAATTAGTTAAACTCAACTGTTTATCAATTTAGAATTTAAATAATTTCCATTAATTCAAACCTCTTTCGTTCAATGTGGGAAGAATGCTATCGATATCATTAGAACAGATACTGAATAGAAGGTATAGCTATGAATTTCGAATACTTGATATATTCTTCGAGCATTAGGTTTTGCTTTCATCAGTTCTATTTAGGTGCGAAATAACTTTGTTAAAATAATAAGAGGGAGCATATTAGAAAAATTTCCATTGTAAATAATGAGCAAGGTTTTGTTTGAATATTCAAAAATATGTTTTAAAAGCAGATAAAGATGTTATTTATTGTTAGTTCATTGTTCATATAATACTCCACGATTTTATAAGATGTATTATTTTAGTTTATTCAATCATAACTTGAAACTTAGCAGTGGGCATAAAACAATGGTGCAAAGTTGTTTTGTTAGTTTTTAACTGTTTTAAATTTTTAATAAAATAGATAGTTTTTTTTTTAATATTTTCGCTGCGAAATAAATTATAATGGACATCTTTAAACACTACCAAGTGTGCTTAAAATGACTAAAGATTTAAAAATTCATTAAAAAAGTGAAATAAAAGCAAGGAAACATAACGGTTTACAGCATTCTGCTTAAAAACTAGTGATTTATCTCACCAAATTCCAAAATTAGTTACTACGCTTGTCAGATGGCGCTGTTAATTGACAAAAACTATAAAAGCTTTTTAAAACTCATCAAATGTCTCTGCTACGTGGCCCTGTTTGAGGAAAAAAGGTACCAGTGCAACATTTTCAGTTGAAATGTTATGATATGCTGTGGAAAACATTGCCTTTTAGATTTTTCAGTCAGCACTACCATCTGTTGATGAACTTTGTAACTAATTTCGAAAATTGTCGAGAGTAAAATCTCGTTTCCTATAGAAGCTGTACACTTCTATCCCCTACTGCGTTCCTTCAACTTCTTCGTATTTGGAACAACCGATATTACAGAAACATTAGATATATGTGTATAATCGTACCATAGAGATGTTTCTTTAGAACTTTAAACGTAATTTACTCGAAATTGTGTTTCGGTTACTTCTGCTAATTTTTTTTAGATTTTTTCGTTTCTAACATGATAAAATGTAGATAAAAATATGTACAATAAGATGCAAATGAACGTATTAAGTTAAATTCGTCACAATTGTTTCAAAATTCATTGAAAAAAATCCAAGACTGAGAAAAACAAATGCTTACATTTCTTAATTATAGTAGTGAAGCTCAAACAAGAAATTATAACGCATGAAAAATATTTTATTAGTTAAAAACTACACATAATTTAAATGTTTAATTAAAGTAAAGCTCAAACAAGAAATCATAATGCATGAAAAATGTTTTATTAATTAAAAAATACACGTAGTTTCATTTTTTAATTACAGCAGTAGAGCTCAAACAGGAAATTATAAGCATGAAAATGTTTTATTAGTTAAGAAATACACATAGATTAAATTTTTAATTATAGTAATTAAACTCAAACAAGAAATTATAACGCATGAAAAGTGTTTTATTAGTAGAAAAATACACATAGTTTAATTTTTTAATTACAGCAGTAAAGCTCAAACAGGAAATTATAAAGCATGAAAAATGTTTTATTAGTTAAAAAATATACATAGTTAAAATTTTTAATTGTAATACTAAAGCTCAAACAAGAAATAACGCATAAATTTTTTTTTTTGGTAGGTAAAAACTATACAAAATAAGAAAGAAAACTCTAATCGTCTAAATGTCAAGAACAACGAAAACAAAATGCTCTACATAATATAATTTTATGGGCATGGATTCTATAATCCTTTGCGGGACGGATGAACAAGAAGTAAAATTTTAATCCGGAAAAGGTATGAGCATGTGTGCCAAACTGTAGACTTTTGGCGAAATATTGTATAGAGTGATAGACATTTAAAAAACTACGGTTTTCAGAATTTTTGGTAATATTATATAAGCCATACTGCGAGAGAATTGGATTAAAGTAGCGTTACACATGAACTTTTCAATCATTTATACGTAGTTGTGAGGAAAATAAGTTCAAATGAACAAAACAAAAAAGAAACATAAACTTAGCTACCACTAGAATAAATAATTACAAAAAGCGTTGAAAGTTAGCAAGTTAGTTTGCTTTGTATGAGTAGTACAGAGATGCCAACTGCTCCAGACACGCCAAAATAATTAAAAGAGCGTTAAATAACTACCAAGTAAATTTCGCAAATATAAAGTGGTGAATTATATAAGCTTACGAATTGTTTAGAAATAGTGGTGGATAAAAATCTTCTAAATTGAACCAAAAATCACAATTGATAAACTACCACTTTAAAATACATATTTGCCGTCGGGAGCAAGTTGGCATCTCTGGGCTTGCTCCGGACAGCAAATATAAATTTTAAAGTGGTAGTTTATCAATTGTGATTCTTTGTTTAATAAATACAATTTGGTAGATTTTTATCAACCACTGTTTCTAAATAATTCGTAGGTTTATGTAATTCAATATTTATGGTACTTAAGTCATGAAAAGCAAGCAAAAATAGTCAAATATTTTCAAAATTTACTTTGTAGTTATTTACTGCTTTTTTAAAATTATTTTGGCGTGTCCGGAGCAGTTAGCATCTCTGTATTGTTTTGAGGCAGAAGACATTGATTTGATCTAGCCTAACCTTAAAATTGACGACAGTCTAGGCTGCTGTCTTCTCTGAGCGTATACCTGTTGCAAAACAGGTGATGTAGCTGCAGCACCAGCACCTGGCCCAAAGTTTAAGCCTTTATCTAACTGAACTCCAAAGAAAGCTTTTCCATTCAGATTCAGGGAAGGTATGGGTATACCTTGCAATAAACCTAGGATAAGTTTAACAGGATCGAACGTTATTTGAAAAGATGGAACAGCAACTTCATGTGTTGGTGCAGGATGTACGAATTTCACATGTGGTACAGGTTTTGCTACAGCCACCGTCTGAGTGACAGGTATTGGTGTTGCTACTGCAGACGTTGCTGACTGCGGATTTTCCGCGCCTCCTCGCCGGGTAACATGTTGTGTAAGAGCAATATTTCCTTTGTCTTGTATCGTTGGCTTGTTTGTTGCTGACATAGCCTGACTGAGAGTTTGACCTATAGAAATGTTCTTGATTGGTTGAACGGTTTGCGCGTACGACTGTTGAAGATTAAGAGGGTTGCTTGACGGCATGGGTTGAATGGACACAACGATTTCTGTTTCAGCTGTCGAGAGATCTTCGTCAGAGTATGATTCATGTTTGGTAACATTTAATTCATCTTCATTTGAGTCTTTTTGTGTAGAGGGAAAAGAAAAAATAACATCTGCAACAGAAGTGGATGGCAAGATTTTTTGTTTATCCGAAGGAACAGGATTAAGTGATGATGGAGTTGAGGTGAGTAAAGTTTGTCTTGGATCAAATGATTGTAAGATGGAAGTAGTGATGTGATTATCTGTACTCAAATCCGTGTAGTAAGTTGTTTTCTCACTCTTTAAGTAAACGCGTGTTGGAAAATGAGGAATTATTTCACTGTATATTTGTATAGGATCTGGAATCTGAAAATAAATGTAACAAATAAGTTTCTTTACAGTTCGTCATTTAATGCAATTTAAACAAAATTTATTTGATGGACCTATTTTATAGCTTAAAAAAATAAACAAATGATTAGATTTTTTGCAAAGCTGAATTGCACAATATCTTAGCATTGTTTTACATGCAAAAGAAATTAATTTTTAAATTAATTTCACGAAGAGAGTCATTATAGCACAAATATTTATTTACATTATCAGGGGTCTGTCCAGACATTTTGTGAAAGGTCCGCTATTGTAAAATTGTGAAAAATTACTCGTAATTTATGAATATAAAATAAACATTAAATCACATTCTTTCAACCAGGGTCCTGCTTTTGTGAATTTGTGCAAAAAGGGTCCTGTTATAGCAAAAAACTTTTTCAAGGAGTTTTTAAATTGTAAAGAGATACAAGATTATGCTCAGCACTTTAAAATTATAATTAAAAAAATTAAATTTTAAAAATAAACAGCAACTGCTGTTACTAAATTAGAGATGCAACATACAAATATTTTGTATTTAGCCTATATTGCTGAACGCAGAATATTCCTTTCGGACCAACATAGGAAGAAGCGTCTGCCGAAGGCAAAACTTAATTCGTTTACATCCATCTTTATTTTTTTTCCATTTGGGATGGGTTTATTCGATTAACAAAACAATAACGAAGATAATCAAATTTGTGAAGGGTGCGATTAGAAGAAAAATCATTTTGTGAGTCCGTTTTTAAGTTAAAATATTTTGTAAAGGGTCCGTTTTTATGAAATGATATTTTGTGAAGGGTCCGTTTCTCTAAACAGACCCCTGATTACGCCATAATATATGCGAAATCGATAAGATTTCTAAGGTTATATCGCATTTTACATTTGAAGAGTTAATGGAAAAAGGTTTCAATAACATTTTTTTGAAATAGTTGTCATTTTTCTTGTGAAGATTTTATTTAAGTCTTATTTAACTGCACAACATCTATACAATAATTTACTTCGTCAAGTCTATAACTTAATTCTCTTAAAAATTAGCTGTTTAAAAATCTAACTTGCACAATAATAGTTTTTTCCTTCAAGCATGTGTAAATTCTGCAGGAATGTATGCATAGCAAATGAATCTTTTTATAAATTTTTTTAATGTTTCTAACATTATATTATGGTTTGTTCGGGAATATATTTTATAAATGGTACACGAAAAGAACAAAGTAAGCGAGTTCAGAATAAATCATCGAACAAATGCTTTTATTTGAATCCAAAGCAACGAGAAATCTATTTCTATAACTTATTTACGAACGCAAATAAGTGTGTTCCAACATCATTTGATATCGTTTAGTTTGATGAATGGGATTGTGTTGGTGATTTTATAAATATAAAATAGAGAAATCTAAAACTTCATCCATCTTCCTAGTTTCAAAAACATTCCGATATCCAGTCACGAACGCCAGCTTTCATTTCTTCAGCGTTTCTTTAAATTGCAGTGATTAAATGCCCCACTGAGCGTGAAATTTATTTCTAAACTTTGGTTGTTGTATTTGCAAATATAAAATCGTAATTGATGATTAATTGAATAGTTTTGTTCATTTAATGTTCATAACATCATCAAAAATAAATGTTTTTTTTCTGTTTACGAACGCAAATTAGTTATGCTTTCCTTTTCTTTAATTTCTTGTAGAATATAAATGTTTTTTTTTTCATCTTTATTTTCAAACTTTTGTACTTGTATTAATTTGCTTTCTTATTGATGTTACTTTACACCGTAATATTGTATTTGTCAAAAAATTTCTTAGAGAAGCATTCAACGCAATGTCGTATTTTGCAGTTGGTATAGTGTTGATATTGCCATTTTTCAACAGAATTTTCCATTATTCAACATGATAATAATGTATTACTTGTTTAGATATTGCTGTTATTCAGCACTATGATAATGAAATTTGTCTAAAGTTTATTATCTATTATAATATAGTAGATAATAAAATATTAATAAATATTATAGATCAGATTATTAAATATACTAGATTTAATAGATATTAATAAATATTTTAGATATGATAGATTTAAAAAATATAATAGAAAAATAATAAAATACATATTTGTAAAAATTTCCTTTGAGTCATTATTCAACACTATTATATTGCATTAGTCGTTATTTTTTAAGATATCTCCATTATTCATCACCGTGACAATGTTGTATTGCCATTCTATAACATTGTATTAGTCATGATTTTCTAAGATATCTCCATTATTTATCATCGAGACAATATTACATTGTCGTACTATGATATCGTATTTGTTATAATTTGCTAAGATATCTCCATTATTCATCACTGTGAATATGTTGTAATTTGCTTAAAGATTGCTATCATTCAACACTGTGATAATGTAATTAGCGTAAATTACTAAGAGATTACACTTAATGGATAAGTCAATGACAGTTAAATCTTTGAAATTACTTTCAAAACTTGAAAACTTATGAAAAAGCGCTATAAAAATAACTGTTGTAACATGCAATCAAACACAATCGATTTACTATAACAATCGATTCGAATCAACATTTTTATTTCAACATTATTGAACATAATAGCCCTATTGCAAGCAAATTAGAGTTTTTTTGGCAAAGTTAAAAAAATAATATGTCTCGTTTAAGAACAAAACAAGGTAACCATTGAAATATGTTATATGATGTAATTGTAATATCGATGCAAAAAGTGATAAAATCTGATTAGTTACTGACGTTTTTTAATAAATTATTAATATTTTAGTAAATGGTTATATTTTTTAAATATGTTAGATTCACAGCGATGGCTGATTGATACGAATTCCGCATCCGACATGCACCGACCACAGTACTAACGTAAAATATCCTCAGTGGTAGATGAATCATTGGTTAGAGTTCCCTTGCCATCAGGCTTACCGTGGAAAGTTTCTGTGGTTCTCCTCTCCATGTAACGCAAATGAGGGTTAGTTCCATCAAAAAATCATCCACGAAGGCAAATTTCTCCCAATACTTGATCAAGGAGTTCCCTTGTCTTCTGGATAGGGTTCAAAATTACGAGGATACGGAATTTAATATTAGTAGTGGTCGTAAATACAAAACATTGCGTCAGCTGCTCAACGACGGTTATAAAATCATAAAAAAAACTTATAAATATACGAATCTTCTTAATTCAAAAGCTTACAAAAATGTAATCTTATAACAATTTTGTCTGACTGGTTGATTCGTCACTGCAAAGAAGTATTCATAGAGTACTCAAAGAGAAGTATTCAAATAGTTCCTACACAAAGATTAAAGGATGTAAAAGTGCAACGTTTTTTTTCACGGCAAAATTATGATATTTTCCCACCAAGTGTGTGAAGTAATAAATCTAAACATATTGATTAAACGACAGGTTTGAATTTGCATTGAACGACATTTGCATTTTTAAAATATCTTTAATTCTGTGTATTGGGAGAATTTTGTCTTCGTGGAGGACTTTTGATGGAGTTAACCCGCATTTGCGTTTCATGGAGAGGAAGACCACGAGAACCTCCCGCGGTTAGCCTGATTGCAAGGTGACTCTAACCCATGATCTGTCTACGACTGAGGATATTTCACTGTGGTCGGTGCAAGCCGGATGCGGAATTCGTATCGACTGGGATTCGAATCCGTTTCGCCTCATTGGAAGGCGAACGCACTATCCTCTGAGCCATCACGGCTCTGATTAGTTTTATTTTATTTCAATAAAATCCATGGAGATTTTTTTCCCTTCAGAAGGATATTGAGTGTTTAAGAAGACAATATATGTACCGTGCGCAAAAAAAGAAAATAAAATCAACCAAAAAACGAAACACCCTGAATATCTTTTAATCTATTGATTGAATTTCCNTTCTCTACGTGGTAGCGCTTCGCGCTCCCGTGCCACAGATCCTATATTCGATCCTCTGGCCGGACAAGGTTAACTCAGATTTTCATCCCTTTAGTGGGCCGATAAATGAGTACCAAGCATGCTTGGGAACTAAACACTGGGGGTTTCGCGTTCGGCTGACCACCTAACCGGAACATCTGCTTCTGCACCCCAGAGACCAAGGTCAAGAAAACTGATATGGGCACAGTAGACCTTGGCCCACTATGGGCCGTCGCGCCATTGAGTTTAGTTTAGTTTCAGTTTTTTTAGTAGTCGTAAATCTGAAACATTGCGTCAGCTGTTTAACGACTGTTATAAAATTATAAAAACAAATATATGAATACGAATCTGCTTGATTTAAAAGCTTACAAAAATTTAATCTTATAACAATTTTGTCTTTCTGGTTGATTCGTTACCGCAAAGAAGTATTCCTAGAATATTCAAATAGAAGTATTCAAAGAGTTCCCACACAAAGATTAAAGGATGTAAAAGAGCAACGTTTTTCTTATCACTGCAAAATTATTATATTTTTCCACCAAGTGTGTGAAGTAATAAATCTAAATATATTGATTAAACGACGTGTTTGAATTTGGATTGAACGACATTTGCATTTGTAAAATTATCTTTAATCCTGTGTATTGGGATAAATTTGCCTTCGTGGAGGACTTTTTGATTAAGTTTACCCGCATTTGCGTTTCATGGAGAGGAAGACCATGAGAACATCCCACGGAAAGTCTGATGGCAAGGGGACTCTAACCCATGATTTATCTACCGCTGAGGATATTTCACGTCATCACTGCGGTCGGTGCAAACCGGATGCGGAATTCGTATCGACTGGGATTCGAACCCGTTTCGCCTCATTGGAAGACGAACGCTCTATCCCCTGAGCCATCGCGGCTCTGGTTACCTGTTTTATTTTATTTCCATAAAATCCATGGAAGTTTTTCTTCCCTTTAAAAGGATATTGAGTGTTAAAAAAGACAAAATGTGTACCGTGTGCAAAAAAGGAAAAGAAAACCAAAAAATGGGACACCCTGAATATCTTTTGATCTAGTGATTGGATTTCCACGCCAATGACTCAATTTTAATGATTTGAGGGCCTGGCCTCCAATATGCTAATTAATTAGAATCATAGATATTTTAAGTTACAAACTTAGACTCGAAAGCATACTTTCTGTGAAGGGAGAGAGAGAAGTCGCAATCTGGGAAATTGGCCCATATGTGCAGTCGAACGTTTGGACCTCCTATTGTTGATTTTAATTTTTTCAAAAAATATTTTCCACAATTATAAAATTTGTTTATCTTAATTCGTTTATCAAATTTTTGCATCATTTTACAGAATTTATTTTTTTATGGCAAAATACAATATATGATCTTATTGGTTGAACAGAAAAATAAAGAAATCTAATTTAAAAAAAGACGCATATTTAAAATCCGATCATTAGTTCAAAAGTAATTCAGGGTGTTCCCATTTGTTGCTCACAGAACATTTTTCTTAGGACATAAAGTAAATTTCGATTTTGTTTTATTACTCTAACTATTTTTAATCTTTCCAACTACTTTTTTTAAGTTAAATAGAATACATTTGCATGAAAAAGTAATGGGAATGAAAAAGAAAAGTAAACTCATATAATGGGAGAAATATAGATCAGTGTTATTGCTTATAATGTTACCTAAATGCTTTTCGACAAATTATCATTGTAGACTCTTCCTTTATTAATTGCTAGGAGAGTGTATTATAGAACAGAATTAAAAATAAATAAACTGCATTAAATAAAAATACGATAGCTACTAAACTGTAGATTGTTTACTCTTTACTACCCCGTTTGAAATAGCTAAAAATTTTAGCGATTTTGATATTTCATAAACTTATAATAATTTTGCAATCATCGAACATTTTTATAGATTGTATCTGAAAATAGAGAAAGAAATGTTGGTCCCAACAAGGAGATTTTTATGCGAAAATAATGATACACTATTATTAAAAAGATCATGAAAATGATAATGAACATCTTCAGTATCATGAGAAATATTTCCCTTCAGATTTTTGTGCCGAAAAACTAATAAGAAATTTGAAAACATTCGAAATTAAAGTGAAAAATATTATTCATTTGCCATTAAAGTCACAAGAATTTGCTAAATTATCAAGTGATTCTGGGATTGAAAATTGATTTTTATAGTCTATAAAAAACTTTTGGATTGGATTCGAAAAGAATTTCTAATGATTTCTAAAACTGTCCTATATAAACTTTCTTTTACTTCTTTTCTTCGACACATTTGTGAGAGACGGCATTTTTGTCTTTAACCACCATGCCAATCAAATCTAAAAAAGATTGAAGGGCTTCGTTACTGCCGTGTCGACTATTTTGCTACACTTAATGGACAGGCTATAGTTAGTGTTTGGATATACCCATGTAATTTAATTAATTTTTTGTTATTGCATTAAATAAGATTGTTACATTTTTAAAATTTTTCGATTGTTCTATGCCTTTTAATAAATTTATTTAGTTAAATACTTAAAACTGTAATAGTAGTTTACAGTACAGTGATTCACGTTCACACATTTTTGGATTTGCTCAATGCTTATGGGGTCCCACAAAACTATCGTAAATATCATAGGACCCCTTTACCAAAAAGTAGGAGAAATGCTGATTACAATATCAGCTAATTATATCCTAGCTTTTACAGTTGCTAGAGGCCTCTACTGTGACTAAGGAGAATGGAAACATTGGATGAGTTCCCTGACTTTATGGAGCTCGCTCCAAGATGTTCTGACACTGACGTTCGAAAACAGACAAAAAAGTTTAATCGGTTTTAATCTTAAAAAAAAGAGTGAAGCTATTTCTTTCTTCTCTTTTTACTATGAACGAACAATTTTGTGTTTAATTAAGTTGTTTTGAACACAAACTTTTCATTTAAACATAAACTATTTTTAATCGCTTTATTGACCGTATTTTTTAATGCAACTTTTTTATCAAAATAAAAATACAAATGAAACATACATTTTGAAATTTAGAATTTGATTGGCACATTTTAAGCTGAGCTATCAAGCCAGATTCAGTAAGAATGTTCCCTAAGTTTCTAAAAATCATGAAAGGTATTTTATCATTCTTTAAGATTGTTTTGATTGATAAGAACTTTCTTATTGTTGTTTGTTTTTCTGACAAAAATACTTAAAATATTGGTAAAAGAATTATAATTTAATAAAGAATAATAATTTCACGAGAAAACTATGAACTAGATAGCTCGAAAGGTCGACTGTCAAATGACTGTTTACCATTCAAAAGTTGAAGGAGTTTGGAGTGAGCTCAAAAAGATGTCGCTGAACTCATCCATTCGAAAATGCATTGCAATGACGTCACAGAGAAACGTTTGTAAACATTATTCGTTAATGTTTATAATATAGAAAAGTAAAGTGTCTCATTTTCCAGTTGAAATGTAAAATTGAATTGCATCCGATAAATAGACAAGCATGTATCTCATGTAACTAAAATTAACACAGACAGTAAACATAGACGATGAAATATCCGAATTAACAATAAGAACTGCCAGAAACACTTTTCAGTTGGGTTAAAGGATACTTACTTTGAGATTGCGTTTGCTTTCGATTTTCGCATCAGAAAGTTCATTTTCCTTCAGCGATTCTGATAGAATGCAATTTATTGGAAAAACTGAAAAATGAAATGTGTGGATGGTTAATGCATATATTTACATCATAAGTTATATTCATGCTGAAATATTTAAATTGTCTGTAGTAAAATTATTTTAAAAAGATATTTATAACGAATATATATATATATATATCACGTATTTAAGTTTAAAAGGGCTTGGAGCAGTGTAATGACAAGCCACATTTTTGAATAGTGCAAGAGTGAGTATTTTGTAAACAACATAACGATTTGAAAGTACTTAATAAGATGTTTATGAGTGTTGTGAAGTGAGGATTTCTGAATTTTAAATGTACCTATCCGGAAACAGCACCAATAAATAGTTTCGTTTTTTAAAAAAGTCATCTCTGGAAAAAGTGTGACTTTTAACTCTATGTTGCCCAAAGTCCCTCACATATAACATCACATAATTCAATATTTCTTGATTTAAATACTGTTTCGGGTTATCATTTAAAATAACAAATAACGTTTTTAAGCTTTCCTCCTCTACACTTGAATTAAATTTTAATTAATTTAATTTAAATTCCAGAATGATTCATTGCATTGAGTTTTCGAATTCAATATTATGTTCAGTTTATGTATTTCTAAACATACATTCAATTTAAACCAGAATTTCAAATCAAATTTGTTAAATACACGATATTTTCTCTTTTGATTTCTCTCAACGTATTGTACTATAATGTTGATCAATTGAGTTAATATTATAATGAAGCAAACTTATAACTTCATTTCAAAACAATAGAATTAAAAACTGACATAAGAATTTATCTAACCCAGTGATCACAAAGCCTAAATCGAACTCCATTAGATTAGAATATGTCAATTTAAACAGCTATATAAATTACTCCGCATTACCATTTACAGAGTTTCTAATGTCCTGATAAAACATGGTAAGTGATGATACTATTACTTCATTATCAATCATTATCAATCAATTTCTGTCAGGATACACGACGATAACTGCATTACATCAAGACGAATATTTTACTGTTTTAATACCAGGACGATAAGAAATATATTTAAGATACATCTCCTAAATGTAAATATATTTGAAATATAAATATATCTGGAATATATATATGAGATGCATTTTAAATATAATACATACACGTATCATATTTAGGGTACATCTTAAGTAAATAAAAATACGATGAACTATGTAGATAAAGATCAAAAAGAACTAATGTGTAATTGTAGATAGTTGTTAATTTTTAAATATATTGCGTGATTCACACACGCCCAAGGAAGTCATTTTGACTGCTTTTAAATTTCAATTAGAAAAACAATGATGTAGTTAATGACGCAATTTCTTAGAATTTTGTGACTTTTATAATTATTTTTATTGTTGATATTTACTAATAACTTGTCATATAACAGAAAATAATGTCAAAAATATTAGAAATTAATTTTAAGCAAATTTCTTTATACATTAGTTATTCTTTCACAATGCAGTCATTTNAAACTATACATTTTAGATAAATAGGTATTTCAGTCTTTCTAGTGTTAAGACCTCTACTATTTTAATTACCACATTTAGTAAAAAAGATTAACATAATCAATAAGTTAGCATGGAGTTGCAAATAATAGTTGATGATGACTTTAAAATTTATCAAGAGATCTCCATCTATTCAATTTTAAATACGATGTTTATTAATAATATAGACAAACGCTCTGAATATTCGTAACAGCTTAAACTAATACGCTCATCATATAAAGTGTAATAGTTAGAGCTCTATGAATTGTGTAAAGACGCGGAAAATGTGGAGAACCGCATAATTTACAGCCGCCCTCATAATCAGCGAGTATTCACATAATTTTTATTTTTGCAGCAAAATGTCTTCATTTATCAGATAATCTTGTCTTTACGGTTTATTTCCCTTACTTATAATACCCGACCAAACAGGAACCGAAGTTTTGCAACCCGAGTTAAACTCTATGAAACCTGCTACATTATTTTGATTCGGATATAAATATTGTGACAAAGAAGTATTCCATGAATGAGTGATTTATTTATAAAACTCGATTAGGTTACATATAAAGTATATGTAAAAGAGTGTTCTGAACAGGATTTGATCAAATTCTTTAATTAAAAGGAAGTCTTTGAGAGGTTTCTAGAACTTAGAAGGAAATCTAGATAAGTACTCTCTTTGTTGATAGTTCAGTGGACTGAAGCAAAGTTGTATCTTGTTACGGCCAACATTCGAGGGTATGTTCAGCTTCTGAACTAATTTCAATTCATTTCAGAAAATTTTAAAATCACTATTATGTTAGATATAAAGTGACTTAATTAAAATATTTACAGTTATAATTTAAGATTTGTAACCAAAACAAGGAGTTTAATTCAAAGTGCGTTTTTTTTCTTCAAATTTTGTTGTTTTTCTGTCATCCGCATTCAATCCGGATAATTTAGACAAATCGCTGCATTCTTATAGCATAATTTTTAAAGAGATTTTCTCATAGTTATACGGTAATTAAAAAAATTCTTATCACTAAAATCTCAGAGTAATCGGTTCAATATTGAGCAGTAATATTGATACCTTGAACCATAATATCGTGCGAATGTGCTGCAGTGTTAATAAGGTGCTGAAATGAACAGTATAGGCCTGGTTGGCAGGGCACTGGACTCACGCTCGTGAGAACGGGAGTTCGAATCCAGCCGGCAGAAAAATCTCCGTGTAGTAAAAGGCGACTGGTGCACGTTAAATCTGTCGAGTCTTAAAGTCCTCCATGTTTCCATAACAAATCAACACCTCTGGGGGTACTGAATTAGAGATTGATTGTCCTCTGGTTCTTGTCAAAATTACTATCTGTGGATGAATGAATGACTGTATGAATGGGTTCGCCCTATAAACGGGTATGACGCATGGGTGTGGCAGAAGGGGAATTCTTAGCCATAGATGGCGCCACTGGAAAACAAGAACAATTGCGCTCCTTGCTTTAATGGCCTACAGCAACAACAACAATGAACAATATTTTAGATCAAGTTGAACCATATCGTCATGCATTTAAATTCAAGAGCTCGATTATATGGTTCAGTTTGCACTGTATTAAGTTTGAAATGAATTTCAACGATAGTGTAATTCAAAAAGTGCTGAAATTTTTTCACATTTGTTTTATCGACACTTTCAATGACTATTAGGCTTTTAAAGTTTCTAACAGCTGAAACAGTATTGTTTAAATTGCACTTTATTAAGGTTACAACGAATTTGAACAATATAGTTCAGCTCGAGCTGAAGTTTTTTACGTTTGTGGTATCGACGTTGTCAATGTCTTAATTACATTAGGTTATTAAAGTTACAAACAGCTGAAAAAGTATGGCTCAATTTGCAAGGTATTAAGGTTGCGACGAATTTGAATGATATTATGGTTACATACGCGTTACATTTGCAACATCGATGTCCTCGACGGCAAAACTGTATTGGACTATTAAAGTTACTGACAGCTGAAACAGTAAGTGTTTAACATTCACATCAGACACTAAATAAATGCTTTTATCTTGTTATAACTTGGGTACTTAGAGTTGATTAAATATTACAATAATACAATTTAGAGAAAAAAATTACTTTGGACACACAAAAAAATCGTAACTTTAGTAGAATATTTTGTAATTAAGGCCGCATAAATCCGAAAGTAACGTAGATCTTTCATAATTTTATCATTAATAACCTTTAAATTAAGTTTTATGTCAGACAATTTTGTTCTTTATATAGTTAAGTTATGAATTTGTTTTTGGTGTATGTACAAAAGCTGAAAATGAATAAAATAAGCCGAATTATGGTTTACTTGGAGATGAAAATTTAAAAGAACTGCTAAAAGCGTTGAAAATGATTGTCAAGAAAACTTTATTAAAAAATTAAATTATTTTATTTTGATTTGAAAGGCGGGATAAGAAATACTAATGCAATATTTTATAAATATTTGTTCTTTTCATAATTTTTTCAATATATTGTTCAGAGAAATATCATATGCTCCTTTAAAAAAAGCCATTTTTATTTCATTGGTTTTTCACTTGAAATAATTTAATACAGGCAACCGAAATCAGAGATCTTAAAACTCAACAGTAGTTGTAACAGTTTTTACAACAGTAGTTGTAAAAAATATTAGCTCGAGGTATCCCTTTCCCTCTTCCACGGAACCCTAGGGTTCCTTGGAACACCATTTGGGAACCGATGCTCTAGTACAACATTTACGAATTTAAATCGTCCAAGAACCACTTTAGGTTTTTTTATATACATAAATTGATGCATCTATTTTTTATTACAGATCACATTCAAATTAAATGTTACGGAAAACTAAAATGCTCCGTATGATTGGATAATTAGGGTGTTTACTGACAAAAAGCTCCCCGTTCGTTAAACTTTACCCATTTGATATCTGAATGAAATGCATAATAATACTTTATCCCATGGGTCATTGCACAATACTCAATAAAACCCTATTCCCAAACATGGAATTCAGAAAAGAAAAAAAAAATTCAATCACATCACGCAGTAAGATTTTCAGGTTCTTATCTGCCTGTAAGTAATTTATAAGACGCGTCCCAACGCAATTGCCTGAGTAGGTAGAACTTACTTTCAAACGTTCACTTACTGTATTGAATTCTTTCAATTGCTATTTTCGCTTTTATCGAAATGCTTTGAAATATTTTAACAGATGTAAACTAGGGTGCTGTTATTTGAACTTAACCTATTTTTTTGTATTTATCTTATGAAATAAGGAAACATAAGACGTTATCAATACGTGGAAAATAATGATATCACTCAGGGCAGTGAATGTTCTCGGCTTTAGGGGAAAAACTTCTTCTAGTGGTATATAAGTTAATGTTTTGATGTATTCTTTATTTTTTGTGAATTTGATTGTAAGTAGCACCCCTACATGTAAATGATCCATAAGTTTATAAAAAACTACATATTTCATAAGACTATATAAGTATTTCCACTATATAAAACTTGCTACCACTAGAAACAATTTTCCCACAAAGATTAAAAAGTTTTCAGCCCTGCATACCTCGTCCTTGCTTCGTAAAAATCGTATGTATGTATAATTCGCATCTAACATACTAAAATTTATATTAATATTTAAGCTATGAAAGGTCAACATTTCTGAGAATTTTATCAAAAAATATGACTATTGGCAAACAATCTTTATCTTCTTGAAGATTGGGGGAGCAATACATTATTGAGGTTTGTATATTATACTAAAATTACTTTTAATTGTTCGCTTTCGCTTTATTTAAAAAGAACTGATTACTTTTAATTGTACAATAATGTGAAAATAATCATCTGCAATACATTAAAACTAAAGTGGTAAGCGGCATGAAATTAAGTTAAGCATAAATGCAAAATCTGGTTCCGAATTGTATGTCTTGGTTCTTAGAATTTTTGTTGACCCTTGACCAAAACTATACATTTTAGATAAATTCAAACATATATTAAGAAATAAATAATTAAAAAGCTTGATTGAAGAAGGTACCAAAGAACGTATAAAAAATCGTGTATTTTGATCTTAAAAATATTGGGTGTACAAATTAGTTCTGTCCGTTTTTTTTTGTGATCAAAAATGCATTTATTTTAGAACAAAATGAAAGAACAGATTAATCAAATTAATCTCTGGCTACTACTTTTTACCCCCTTTCAGGTAATTTTCGAATTCCATCTTGAAAAATGTCTCGTTTTTTGAGGCGATCCAAGTTAGGAGCCAATTTTCGATTTCTGCGAAAGAAGTGAACTGGTGACCTGCCAAATACTGCTGCATCCGTCGGAACAACCAGTAATCAGAAGGAGCAATGTCCAGCGAATACAGCGGGTGCAGTAAAATATCCCACTTGAGCTTTTCCAAATATTTTTTTACTACTTTTGCGACATCAGGCTGACCGTTATTAGACAGAAGAATAACTTTGACATGTCTTTGCTCGCATTCCGGCCG